GAACACCATTTAGTTCTAGTACATGTCAAAACGGATGTTAAAATGCTTCCTAGTTAATCTTTTTTTTGGGAAGAACAATTACAGGAGGGATTTGAGATCTACAGAATCTACTGGATGAGAGGCTGGAAGTTTGATGTGTTTTGCTTCTTAGGGAGATGGTAGGAGGTGTCTTGATCATAATTTGTGATGTCGTGTAGAGATTTGATACTAGATGGTTCTTAATGTAGCAAAATCTATGTTAGCCTAAGATCCCGCAGATGACAGTTGTTGCGAAATGTGGATTAGGTATTGGAATAGAGTCCCCAGGGAAATGGCAGTTTCTTTCATCAAGAAAAATCTTTAAATAAAAAATGTTGATGTTGCTTTGGAAAGACCTGCTGTGAGTCTGCAAAATGTGAGCAGTGGGATAGGAATTGCTGAGCAGAGGTTTTGGCCTGGTATAGAATGCCATGCTGCTTGATTATAGCGGTACTTTCTAGTCTTAGAAGTTATGAAGCAGTTATGTGGTTAAATGACTGTGCAAGCTTAGAAAATACTTAATTGTGGGCATGGGCAATCAGGCTCCACTGCTTTAATTTCCTGTGAATCTTACTGGACACACCAGATGGATATAGTGCTTTTCTTGTCAAGGTCCTTGTACCAGAACCATGCAAAGATCTCTTTCAGGGATCAGTAGCATCAAAGCAGGTACTTTATATGTCCATAGTCCATTTTTCTGACCTGAAGAAGCCTATACTATAATTTAAAAGGAAACTTGCACATTAACAGAACAAATGTGGAAAGCAAAGACACAGATATGTACCTTATATCACATGGGTAAGCATGATAGTTTTAGGTCTTGAAAGTACCAAATCATTGCAGTTTTCAGGGTAAATTCATGCAAGCTTTTATAGCTGTCTCTGAACTATGACTGTCATCATTTAGCTGCTTATTTGCATTGACTTCCACAAGGAAGTTTTAGGGCACAACCTGCCAGAAGAATGGTACAGATCCCGTAGACTGATGCAGGCAGGCCATACAAAGTGTGAAGGTTAGCACAGAGAAAGCAAGTTACTTGAAAGAAAGTTACTTGAAGAAGAATTAAAAAAAAAAAAAAAAGACAACATGTATCATGGTTGTCACTGGTGAAACAGCACTAAGGGACAGGAACAAGCGAAGAACCAAGGTACAGTTATGCACACCTTGAAGACAATGACAGGAAGCTTGAACCTGATGAGGTGGGGAAGAAAAAGCATTCTTGGGATTCAAGGAGATAAGACCTAATCAATTCACGGTTATGAAAATTATCAAATTGGCAGATGCATTTTCTGTGAATTATAGTGGGGTAATTGGAGAGTCAGAGAGAAGAAGATTACAGTGATCGAGGCAAAATGATTATTAGGTCCAGGATTAGCATTTTTGTTGTCTGTGTAGAGAGGAATTAATGGATAAATAAAATTACCTGCTATGTGTTTATGAGAGCCATCAATTTCGTGGCTTTGTTTCTAGGATAGTTACTGATTCTGTGTTATCATAGCGTAAGATTTTAGCACAGTTCTTTAATTCTCAGTGTGCAATTTGTCTTGGTCTTGCAGTTTCTAAGGTCAGTGTATGAGGGTAATTACTTGCTTAAAGTCTTGATAGTAAATATGAAGCCAAATACAGCAGTATGGATGGTGCTGTTTCAGTTTAATTTGGTTTCAGATTTTAAGCTTATTAATTAGTTGTAATTGTAAGAAAATGAAGTGGTTTAGCTGTTCTGGACCATAGTCACTAGAGAGGGAAACATTTGTGTGAACATAGATTTGAGAGTTGCATGATGGCCTGTAGGATTCTCTCCTTTTCTTGAACTCAAATAATAAAAATTCATGGAATAGCTTATCTGGCCAGTTTTCCTTTGTGTATTGGCATGTAGGAAAAAGCCTGTTTTCCCATTTTAGGCTACATGGCGTAGCCTAATGAACTGAACGTTGGGCCTTGAACCTGGGAACTGTCACTGACTTGCTTTCTAGTCCCCTGGGTCACACTGCTCTACCTATTTTTTCTGGTTGTAAAATGGAGATTTTATCTAATTACCTCTGGTCTTCTGAGGAATAATACCAGTTTTGATTTTTCAGGGTGTTCTTAGTTGAAAAGTCATAGCTGCAGATAAAAATCCTTTTTAGTAATGTGCATAAAACATGTGAAAATAAGTTTGTTTTCTCTGAGAATGTAGCCAGCGAAGCCTAGCTTTCTAATGACTTGCATTTTGTGTTCTCAGCAGCATTTCTTCTGTCCCCACTAATCCTGGCATCTGACTTCCAACCTGTGTCCACTGCAGTTGCCTTAGTCCTCTCCCAGTATCGCCTTTCACATTCCTTATCCTTCCCCCTTTTTATACAGGGCTTGTGTTTACCGAGCCACCTCAAAATACCACCTCCCCACTGCTGTTTTTCTAATTACTGTCTGGACAAGAGGCATATGGCTTTGGGACCTGCCATGTGCTGATAGGCTTGAGTATGCGTGTGCTGACCTGCCAGGAGGCCAAATGTCATAGATAATTGCTGAGCTCATTGAAACCTTTTTGAAACCATTGAAACTCATTTTGAAGTTCACTGAAACCATTGACATCTTTTCATAGCATTCCTAACAATTCAGCCTTAATAATTGTATAGAAGATAAGAACAGAAAATTGTGCTGGTTGAGTTCCTGTGATGCTCTTTTCAGTACATTGATTTTTTTTCAGACCTGCTTCTGACATAGTTCATTTTCAAAAATGATTAAGATATTTAAACACTTTCTGCTTGGAGTGTCCCTAAATGTCCACCTAGATTGTTGTGGTTTGGCTCCTGAATCTTGAGAAAGGAGAAGTTCTCTCCCAAACCACTGTTAAGGCTAAGTAGGGTTTGATCTGGAGTGGTTTGGTGTGCCATACCTGCAGGGTAGATGGGCATATGCACTGTGTGTTGCCATAGCAGTGTCAAAAAGACCTTTTTCAGTACGCTGCAAGGATTGTATATGTCCTTGTGGCTGTCACATTTCACCTGGAGTTCCTGTTCATCCTATGCATAGAGTCCTTTTGAGAGTTGCTGATTTTCAAATCCCCAGTTCTGTAAACATTACTTGTGTCCTTTCTCTTACATCATACTCTAAATATCTGACCACGTTGAAATGCATATATTAAGCTTCTCTTTTGTAACCTGTGATTTGTCCTCTTTGGTAGTTACCGATATACCATATTTGTATCTTCTGTAGATTCTTTCAGTGATGATTTTTGTTTCCATGGATAAAAATACAATGGGGTACACCGATTTTGTTTGTTCTTTGGCAGTGGGGGAAAACAGCGGCTTATGGCTCTGTGGTGGTCTGTGTGCAAGCACGGGAGGCCGTGCTGGCACACTGCACAAGTAGTCTGCCAGCCAGGGATCTGAAAGCCTTGCATTAGCAAGTTGATTCAAATCAACTTTTGCTTTAGTTTTTATGGCAGTTAAGATGAAAAAGTTCCTACTAATATCTTGTGATAAATAGGTTAATTATGTATACGTAACAGTGTCTCTGATGGTAGAAGCGTGGAGTTTTGTGTTCCCGTGCTCCAGGAAGTACAAATTAGTGTGTGAATCACAGAATCCTAGAATGGTTTGGATTGGAAAGGACCTCAAAGCCCATCCAGTCCCACCCCTGCCATGGGCAGGGACACCCTCCCCTAGCCCAGGTTGCCCAAAGCCCCGTCCAACCTGGCCTTGCACACTG